CACAACATTATTATGTGAATTTTTTACAATGCAAAAAAATACAGAAATGCAATACATAGATACAGCTAAATTCAGAATGGTAACTTTTTCTCCTCAGGAGGAGAAATTTCTAGCAAAGTAAAAGACTGAATAGGTAGAAATAGGTTGGTCATTAGCTTCATGATTTGCCTAGAAATGATCTATAAATGCTTTTCGCCCCTGCTACTTAGCATCGAGTGTAAAAGGGGAGTTAAAGGAAAGTTTCCTTGTTGGTTTCTACCGTATGAAAGATGCCATATTCTATTTTAGCAGGCCCAGTATGTGGAAAATATCTCAATTAAATGTTATCACAAAAATGAGGCAGTAATGAGATTCTGGCTAAAGAGGGCACTAAATGAGAATAATATATACTTAAAGAATTCCAAACAAACAAAACGCTGTTATAAAAAAGCTCTAGGTGCACTGTAAGCATATAGGTTTTTTTCCCATGTGTATTTTTAAACAATGGAAGTTACCAAAAGATAGGGTCAACTGTGTTAGACTAAATCACGTTATTGTATAGGCTGCATTGAATGGAACCTCTGTATTATAATTATAGAGAAGCACAGTTTGTATCATATGGCAATTTGTCCTCAATGAAAGCCTTCCAGAGTCCTTTTATTTTGGAATATCCTGTAAACAAACCACCAGAACATGATTGTACAACAGTAAAATGTTCTCTTGCATTAAATTGAAGACATCTGTTTAATAATAAAAAAAAGAAAAGAAAATGTAGGAAGGTACTTAGAGCTGTTATTTTCTAAGGACACAAAACCCTAGACAATTAGACAATTCATCTTTTTTTTTTTTTTTTTTGGTATTGGGATCTAACTCAAGTCCTTGCATTTGCCAGGCAGGCGCTGTCAAGGCATCTTAATTCCATCAAGAACAACAAAAAAATAATTTTTATCATGCTGTTAAATCCATCGTTATGGATTTAAAAACTGGTGCAAGTTAGTCAAACAGATCCAACAGACGCTGATGTCCCAGCTGGCGCACTGGCAACCAATATGTAACTGGTGGTCAGAGAGTTTAAAAGATCTTCCCTTTCTTCTTGTTCTTTTCCGAGGTTCTCAAGGGATTCTGTTGTTCTAAGATAGGTTGCTGAGCTTCCCACTTTGCTTTCTCTTCCTCACGCTGATGACGTTTTCCCCCTCATTCTCTGTGCCGGGCTCCCAAGTTCTTTTTCATTTGCTCGTGGCGGCGCTGGAGCTCAGCTTCGGAGTCCTCCAGCTTGCGCAGTTTTTCTTTGACCTCCATCCCTCTCCATCTCCAGCTTCTTCACCTTGGCTGCGTGCTCCCTCCTTCTTCCCTTCCTGCCCGGGGCTCTCGGTAGGCTGCCCTTTGTTCTTGTTGTCCTCGGCTCCACTGTAAGTCACAGCTGCCAGTTGTCTGCTTCTGCAGTTCTCGTGGTGCACATTATTGGTGACATCTTTTGAGTCCTGCACGTGTGTCCTGACCAACATATTTCTTAGAGTTGCGAAATCACAGTGTTCACCATTTTCAACTCCAGCCGCACCCCAAGGTGTGGGAAGCCAGCCATGGCCCACCGGCTTTTTGAAAGACAACATTTGTTCCTTTTTAAGGACTGCACGTGTTAAACTTGTTTTGACCCTGCACGGGAGAAACTCGGACAGCCAAAGATCTGATGTTATCTATAGGAGTCAGGTGTTGTCATGATTATTAGTTGCAGGTGTTGTTAATTTGTTTTTCTTGAGCCTGCTTTCTCTTGCCCGTATGAACCCTCATTCCCGTGGAGCGGGTGTTGAGGCCCGTGTGAATCCTCGTTCCCGTGGAGCGGGTGTTGAGGCCCGTGTGAACCCTCCTTCCCGTGGAGCGGGTGTTGAGGTTACTATGGTGATCCTAGCCCATAATAGTTCGGCCTTTCCCTTTAAAAGGCCGGTGCTTGCCGGCAATAAACGTCGCCTTGATCAGACTCTTGTCTTGGCGTCCTTCCTTTCTCTCTGCCCCATCTCCACCCCGCTGCTCTTTCAGGTTTGAGGCACTGCGGGACAGTGCTCTGCGTCGCCGGTTCGCGACACCAAAGGTGCTGCCTTCCCCTGACCGTTTTGCCGTTAACTTCAGTGACAGTGTTTCTGCCCACCGCAGCAAGAGGTAAGCGGTCTTGTATCTTTTTAACCAGCTTATTTCCTTCTCCATCATCTGTTTTCTGGAAATTCGTCTATTTTAATTTTATGTTTTTGGATTTCTTTCGTTGCCTGTTTTTCAAGCTGTTGGATTCCTCTGGCATGCACGGTGGGTTCTGGCAGTCAGCGGGCTGATCCTCACTTTCTCAGGCAAACGCTGCATAAACTCAGCATCCAGTGATTGAAGTCCAGGTCCTGAAGGAGCAATGAAGTCTAAACAACACTGCACCCTGTTACCCGGCCTCTGACGTCTGTTCCCTCCTGGTTGTGCGTTTAGGAAACACTCAGATTTGCTATCAACACAGTCGATCACAGGCTGCCAGCAGTTACCGTTACCCAGTGCATCTCCAAATCCTGGGGTATCGACTGCTGTGAGCTGCAACTGAGCACCGCCTTCTTTGACTAAAACTTTGAATTGTTCCACCTGTGCAGTCTTATTCTATGGGAAGGACCTGGATACTCTGGAGAATACAAATCTGCGAGGAGTAACGAGCTGATTAACGTTGACTTTCCCAGCCCAGGTTCTCCTGTGTACCTGTGCGGCATTTTCGGTTCATGTCCTTCGCCAGTCATCTACTTCTGCTCCCATCAGTGTGAACTCAAACGCTGTCTTCGCTGACTTTCTGCCCACTTGGTCTGGGAGATTGGCAAATCCCGCGTAGCCTTCTTCGGTGGAGCAAACACGGCGCCCCGGTGGATGCCTCTCTCTTCAGCGGCAGCGCTGATTCTCTCGCTGATGACAGACATCCCCTCCCGAGGCCGACCAGCCCCGGCGCTGCGCAGCCTGCCGATGACTTAGTTTTGACCGTTTTATTTCACAAAAAATAATTCAAGGAGAATAGAAATGTTTAAATCTCACATGTTATTTTGCTTACAAATCACTTGTTTTTTCCACAGTTATTTTAAAATATGCTTTCATAAATATATGTGTAATAAAAGATGTAATTAAATTACAGGGTTTTTTTACTTCAAATAAGAACATTTTTATTGTCTAATATCATTTCAGTGAACTGTGCTACTCCCACCATTACCTTTTTCTTTAAATTATTTCTCACTCACAAGCTTTTAAATTCCTGAGGATTCTTACAGTTTTACATTGCAATTGCAGTTTTCCTACATACATAATCTTTACTTAAAAAGCTATTCTGAGAGAATTCTGCTTTTTGTTTTTAATGTTCTAGAGACTCAAACACCCCTCCCCCCGTGACGCCTTTGGATCATTTTTAGACGAATACCTAAAATACAGTTTTGTGTAACAAAATCATACTGAAGCTAAACTTGAAAAAAGATCTTTTCCTATAAGAGTTAGACAATTTCATCCCAACACCTGAATGTTTCCATGTATGTCCTGTATGTTTGTGTGTCTTGGTATGCTTCATTATTCATGAGTTAACTTATTTTACTAATTAATATAGGTGAAAAAACGAATATAGGTGATTGATTCAAAAATTTTTATGTCGTACTGTAGGACTGATAGGGGCTTTTCATCTGCCCCTTTATTCATATCTTCAAGTAACTGAATGGGACTTTGAGAGCATTTGCACCATTCCCGTGAGAGGTTCAGGCCCAGCCTGCTCAGAGCCTTTGCCTTCTGGACAGCAGTCAGGCAGGGCCCTAGGGGGAAAGAGATGAAACTACAGCCAGCCAGACCAGAGTACATTCAGAGCTGAGGTTGGGATACTCAGAATCCCAGCCGGGACAAGTGCAGTGTTGGACAGATCTCCATATTAAAATGTTTAACTTCCCTGCAGCAAAAAGTTGTAAGACACACAAATGATAGCCTATGCATTTGGTAGATTAAGGAAGTGCTATATACATGTAAAACAGGGGAAACAGACCATCAGACACATTTGTTATAGCATTTAAAATAGCAGCAGCCCAGGCTGCAACGGAGTTCCAGGGATGTGCCTTTAAGAGTGCCAACAAAAGGCAGCAAATGCAAGTATGTCTTTTCCTACAGCCTCTTTTGTGGCCGGAAGCAGCAGCATGAAAGGCAAACCAGAGGCATCTGCTTAAATTTGATCTGAGTCCCTGAGAATCCAGAGTAGCCTTGCTTTACGCTTTCTCAGCCTTCGCCCTCCTCCGTAAACAGTTGGTATGTGTTTGATGTGGCAGGAGATGGTGACCTTCAGGGACGTGGCCGTGGTCTTCAGCGAGGAGGAGCTGGGGCTGCTGGACTCTGCCCAGAGGAAGCTGTACCGAGACGTGATGCTGGAGAACTTCAGGAACCTGCTCTCCGTGGGTGAGAAAGGCCCGCTGTGGAACCTTGTTCCCCCGCCTCCGGGGCATCTCTGTGGGCTCAGCTGTTTGAAGTTCTGGGACTCTTGAAATCATTCTCTGAGCTTGGGTGCCTGAAGGGCCCAGGATACCTGTGCAGCACAGACAGGAGGCCTCTGATTGTTCTGTCCAGGCGAAAGTGTCTTTTGAGCTATAAATGGGCATATATTTCAATGTATATGCAGAATTTGGGGGTCCCGGAGACCGCTGTCACTACTGACACTAACTAAAAGTTTGGAGGTCCCCAGGACCACTCTCAGGCCTGAAAATACCCAGGAGCAGAGGATATCTTTCCATTTTCTTATGTCCTCTTCAATCTTTTTTTTCAGAGTGCTGTAGTTTTTAGTGTAGAGGTCTTTTGTTTCCTTCGTTGGATTGATTCCTAGATACTTCATTTCTTTGGATGCCATTGTGAAAGGAATTGTTCCCTAATGTATCTCTCAGTGAGTCTGTTATTTGTGTACAAGAAGGCTATTGATTTTACACTTGATCTTAGCCAAAAGGCCGAGAAGCGATAAGGCTATTGATTTTTGAGTGTTGGTCTTGCATCCAGCTACTCTGCTGAAAGTGTCAATTAAGTCTAGAAGTCTTTTGGCAGAGCTTTTTGGGTCTTCTATCATATCGTCAGCAAATAATGACAGTTTAACTTCTTTCTTTTTGCTTTAATCCCTCCCCACTTTTTTTTTTTTTTTTTTATGGTACCAGGGATCAAACTCAGAAGCTTGTGCTTACGAGGCAGGCTATGGAACCACTGAGCTAAATCCCTGGCTCCTCTTTCTCATATCTAATTGCTATGGCTGATGTTTCCAGAACTATATTGAACAGGAGTGGTGATAGTGGACATCTTGTCTTGTACCTGATTTTAGCGTGAAGGTTTTCAGTTTTGGGCCATTAAATATGATGTCGGCTGTTGTTTTTTCATAGGTAGCCTTTATCAAGTTTAGATAAAGACCATCTATTCCAATTTTCTGCAGGGTTTTTAATCATGAGTGGGTGTTGAATTTGTCAAATGCTTTTTCTGCATCTATTGAGATGATAATATGGTTTTTGTCCTTGACTCTGTTAATATAGTGCATTACATTTATGGATTTATGTATGTTGCTCCATCCTTGCATCCCTGGAATAAATCTGACTTGGTCAGGGAGTATGATCTTCTTGATGATCCTCTGTATTCTGTTTGCCAATATTTTATTGAGGATTTTTGCATCTATGTTTATTAGAGAGTTTGGCCTGTAGTTCTCTTTTTTGGTTGGATCTTTCCCTGGTTTTAGAATCAAAGTAATACTTGCTTCCAGGAATGAAATTGGAAGTATTGCTTCCCTTTCAATTTCACTAAAAAGTTTAAAGAGTAGTAGCAGTAGTTCTTCTTTAAATGTCTTGTATAATTAAGCAATGAAGCCATCAGGACCTGGGCTGTTCTTTGTTAATAAATTTTTAATTATGTTTTCAATTTCACTGATTGTAATTGGGGTATTTAGAATTTTTTAAACTTCATTCAACTTTAATAATTCATAAGTATCTAGAAATCTGTCCATTCCTTCTGTGTTTTCCATTTTATTAGAGTACAGGTTCTTGAAGTGGGTATTGATGATCCTCTGGATTTCTGCTGGACTTCACCTTTTTCATTCCTAATTGCATGGATCTGAGCCTTTTCTTTCCTTTTTTGGGCAAGGTTGGCTAAGGTTTATTAATTTTATTTATTCTTTCGAAAAACCAACTCTGATTCATTGATTTTTTTGTATCATTCTCTTAGTCTCCATTGCATTGATTTCTGCTCTGATCTTTACAATTTCCTCCCTTGTATGAATTTTGGGTTTTTCTTGCTCTTATTATCCTAGGAGCTTAAGATTTATCATTTGTTTATTTGAGCTCACTCTGTTTTCCTAGTGTAGGCATTCACTGCTATGAATTTTCCTATTAGAACTGCTTTCATTGTGTCCCATGGATCCCTGTATGTTGTATTGGCATTATCATTTATTTGTAAAAACTGACTAATTTCTTTAATTTTCTGTGTGATCCATTGATTATTCAGGAGAGTATTGTTCAATTTCCATGTCTTTGTGAAGTTCTTGCAGTTTCTTATGCTGTTCATCTTCAGCTTAATTGCACTATGGTCTGATAATATACATTGGATACCTTCAATTCCTTTGCACTTATTTGAACATGTTCTGTGAGCTAGTATGTGGTCTGTTTTGGAGAATGACCTATGTGCAGCCAAAAACAATGTATATTCTGATTTTCGGGGGTAGAACACTCTGTGGACAATTAAGTCCATTTGTTCAAAAGCTTGGTTCAGTTCTAGTATTTTGTTGTTAGTTTTTGGTCTAGATGATCTGTCTATTTGTGACAATGAGTATTTAGTTCCCCCACTACAATTGTATTAGTGCTTATTTGGTTTTTCATGTCGCTTAATATTTGTTTTGTATAGTTGGGGTCATTAATATTTAGCGTATATGTATTTATGATTGTGACCTCTTCCTCTTGGATTGTTCCCTTTACAAGGATGTAATGACCTTCTTTGTCTCTTAATTAGTTTTGATATGAAATTTACTTTGTCTGCAAATAAGATAGCTAACCCTGCTTTTTTCTGGGCTCCTGTCACATGTAGAACTGTTTTCCATCCTTTTACTTTCAGTCTATGAGTTTCTTTTTGAACTAGGTATGTTTCTTGTATACAACATATGGTTGGATTTTGCTTCTTAATCCATTCTGCCAGTTTATTTCTTTTGATTGGTGAATTGAGACCATTAATATTGATGGTTATAACTGATATGTATTGACTTATCATTGTCATGTTATTGTCCTGTTGTTGGCTCTTCTTAATTTTTCCCCCTCTCCCTTTAGTTTCTTGCCTTGCCTAATTGATTTGCTCTGTTGGACCTCATGGTGTTGTGACCTTCGTTGTCTTTTTCTAGGACATTGTTTAGAATTATTTGGAGTGCTGGTTTGGTATTCATGAAATTTCTCAGGTGTTCTTTGTTATGGAAGTATCTTATTTCTCCATCTATTTCAAAGAGAGATTTGCAGGATATATCAGTCTAGGTTGGAGGTAGTTTTCTCTTAGGGCTTGAAATACCTCACTCCAGGCTCTCCTTGCCTTGAGGGTTTATGTTGAAAAGGCTACTGTGATTCTGATGGGCTTTCTTTTGCACGTGATTTGTTTCTTTTCTCTAACTGCTTGTAGTATTTTGTTCTTCTTTTGGGCTTCTGGGATCTTGACTCATATATCTAGGTGTAGATTTTTTTGTTTTTTTTCTTTATCATGGCTAATTGGAGTCCTATATGCCTCACTTATCTGTATGTTAAATTCTTCCCCTCTGTTTGTGAAGTTTTCTGTCATTAATTTTGTGAACAGTTTTTTCATGTCATTTGTACTTTCTCCTGCTACTTCATGGATTCCTATCAGACATATTATTCGTCTTCGCATCATTTAGGATTGTTGGATTAATTTTTCATGATCCCATATTGTTTTTAAAAGATCTTTCTTTTCATGGTCACTGACTGCAATCCTAGTTTCTATATCTGAAATTCTATCTTCACATTCATTCATTCTGCTGTGAATGCTTTCTGTAGCATTTTTAATCTGGATATCTCTTTGAATCTGTTTCATGGATTTCATTTCTTTTTTTGTGTTGGGTATTCATGATTTCCATTTCTTTCCTATGCTGGGCATTCATGGCTTCTATCATGGTCTTGAGCTCATCTTTTTTTTTTTTTTCTGTTTCTGTTCTAGAGTCTCTAATCATGACTTTCTTTTTGCTCACCATCTCTAGTTGTCTGGGAAATTATTTTTGTTTTGAATTTTTCTAGAGCCTCATCCGTTTTGTTACTTCCTTTGCTATGAGTTTGGGTTATCCTGGTAGTTGATTGTTAGACTTTTCTACCTCGTTTCCCCTAGAATTTGCCATTGGTGAACTGGAAGTCTGTATTTCTGCCTTGCTTAAGTGTTTTCTCATTTTTATTTTTGTTGTTGGTACTGTCTTTGGTATAATTCCTGAGTTAGTACTTCTATCTTCCTGATATAGCTGCTCTTTAGGTTTTGAGTTTCTTTTGACTCAAAGACACTCTCATTTTCATAATATCAGGAAGGACAACTGATTAAATTAATCACAACCTTTTAGCCTGGTTGATAAAATTAGCAACACAATAGCATCAAGCACAGCTAAGAAATTGACAATTATTAATCTATCACATTTTAACCATGTAAATGAAATCAAAATCAAGGACCAGCTCAAAATATGTTTGTAGTGAATAAACTCTTCAATATAGCAACTTTACCCTTCAAGATGGGGACTTAGAAGGAGTTGGGAGAAGAGGAATAGATAGATAGAAGGATAGGAGAAGGTTTCGAGTGAATCTAGAGGACACAGGATGATCACACAAACTCTAGGAATCTGTTGAAAACAAGAGGGAAGGACAGTGCAAGAACAAAGACAATAGAACAACTCAACAGAAATAGAAAAGCTATAAATTGTACTCACTTTCCTTTGAAACTAATGACAATTGAGAGAAGGAAAAAGAGAAAAGAAACAGAAGAAATCTGAATTAGGGTGGGAACAAAAAGGGAGATGAACAATTTGGAGGAGCAAAACATTGAGTGGGAAAAAGAAGAAAGAAGAAAGGAAGAGTTCGAAGAGTGGGAAAAAGTAAAATTTTAAAATTTAAAATGAAAAATCAGAGGAAAAGAAAAAAAATTTGAAAGGCCTCCTTCAGGGTATATCTCTGCTGTCACAATAGACAATGTGGGCAGCAGTGTGCAGAACTAAGTCAGTTAGTCTCAGCAAGCTAAAGGTAGAACCCTGAGATTTAGGCTGAATTCTGGTTCCAAGGCCCAAGTTGAACTCCCTGACCTTCTGCAGGGTTAAACTCTGCAAGGTTCTAAGGCAGGTTCCAGCTGCCCTTCCCCTGAAGATAGTGCAGGCTCTGATGGAAGGTGGTGATCCCTTCAACTTACCAACTATGGAGGTCTGGTGTGCCTTGATTGCTATCATTCACTTCCATTCTGCCTTCTGGAGCTCAGTACAATGGCCTTTATGACCACCTGTACCTCTGCAGTGTGGATTCAGGTAGTGGCACAACCAGGAGGCCCCAGAGCACAGGGGCACCTGTGCAGCTGGGCAGTCCTCACTGGTCTGCTCCAGTGAAGGCCCAGGGCGCTGGAGGGTGGGTAGCAGCCTAGCTCCCTGTGTTGGCTCCAAACTGCTTTTTTGGCAGACCGTGTAAAATAAAATATTGTTACACATTGAAAATAAAAATGCAAACTGACAGCCCACAGGGAGGGGAGTGGGACACTATTTAACAAAGCTGTGTATTTATCCATTTCTGGGAATTCTCCCTAAATACAGCCAAGTGTGAAAAGGCATTAATAATATACCACAATTTGGATAAGAAAGGACAGAAAATAAGTAAATGTGTATCTGTTTATCTTAAGAAACACAGGGAGGAAAAATTAATTAGAAAGCCATGAGGTTGGTTTCTCACGTTGAGTGTCGGGGGGTAACGGGATGGAGGGGATGTCACCGAACACCATTCTTGGCCGTGTGTACCTTATTAGCTCGTTTTTGACAAAGTGGACATCATCGGGCTTATTTTGTTTCGCTTTTTTTTTTTTTAACAGCACATCAGCCCTTCAAACCAGACCTGATAGCCCAGTTGGAGAGAGAAGAAAAGCTTCTGATGGTGGAGACAGAACCCCAAAGAGATGAATATCCAGGTGAGGACCGTGCAGTAGGAACAAGGCAGTCGTAGCCCCTTACAGACACGAGGCGAGATGCATCCGTTCCGCCTAAGTCTCCAGCAGCTCCCAAGTCACCCATAGTAAAGAGCCTGCAGGGCCCTGCCGTGTGTGTCCCTTCCCTAGTCACCTACTGTTGTTTGTTTCTGCCCGCCCCATCTGCCCAGCTACGTGTCAGATCTGTCCGTTCTGCTCTATGTAGGTTCATAACTTGCTCTTCTTTCTGCCTTGACCTAATGAATCGGTTAATGATGAATGCCAGGTATTTGCTGTCTTCAGCCCGTTTCTGACAGCTAACAGGCATAGAACAAGCAGTATAATTGAAGGACACTACCAGGTATTGACTGTCGTCTGATGAATGCCTCTCCTAAGTTTTCATTGTCCTTGGGTTTTCGTACAGAGGTAGCTGTTATTCTTAAAAGACAAGAAGAGTCGGTCAGCTAAAGTAAGCATCAAAAGTGTTTCGTGCCAACATTTAATTGACCTTTCTTGCAAGCGAGGCACTTGATTTTGTACGCCCGGCTTCTCGTCTCCCCATTCTTTTTCTCCTAAACAGTCTCTTGACATAGCTTCAGTCTTAAAGTAGAATTTTCCAAGTTGGACCATTTGGGTCCAAATAATTTGATAGTATTTCTTGAGTCCTCTAGACTCTTAACACCAAAAGCCACTGTTACAACTGCATAGCTCAGGATGCTTCTGGGTAGCAAAAAGAATTTCAGAGCGAATCAATTTATTTCTATAACTTCATTTCTGCCTTAGTTAATTTTCTTGGTCACACATGGTCTGGTATCTTCTTGAGAGTAAGGGTCAGCAAACTTTTTCTCTGAAGGTCCAGAAAGTAAACATTTAGGCTTTGCTAGCCGCACAGGGTTTTTTGTCACATACCCTTTGTTTCTGTTACATCATTTGTTAAAATTTGAAAACTAGCCAGATGCAGTAGCACACACCTGTAGCATACTTGGGAAGTGCAGACAGAAGGCTTGTCAAGACCAGCCTAGCCAACATAGTGAGACCCCATCTCACGAGAAACAAAATACATAAAGACTCATGTTAGTTCCAGGCTGTATAAAATAAAAGCTAAGGCCACAGCGTACCAGTCTCCTCTCTTGATACCATCAGTAGGAACATAATGTCACCTTTTAAAACATTTAATTTTTTTACATATATTGCTACCATCTCTATACCTTATATTAATGAAAATTTTTGACCATGTACATTTTTATTTTTATTTTTTGGTATTGGGGATCGAACTCGGGACCTTGAACTTGTGAGGCAGGCAGCGGAACCATGAACTAAATCCCCGGCCCTATTTTTATTTTTAATACAGTATTTTTTTCTTCTCATACTTTGGGGAAATCTCTCCCAGTCTAAAGTTATAACTTTTTTGTGTGTGCCATGGCTGTATAGTATTCTAATCTGTAGATATAACGAGCATTGTTTAGCTATTTCCTGCTTGGTGTTCTCGTGCTCTACAGGCCACACCTTCCAAATGTCTACACCCAGCAATATCCTGTGATCTCTTCAAATGCACAGCCTACCCAATCAGCCACTAAATTTGTTCTTCTATTTTGGGAAGTGGTTAATTCTTTTTACTTATAGTAAAGCAGATGATTTGGAATCCGTGTGTGCATCGAGTCCACTTGTTAACCTATATAAGCAGCCAGAACCTGTTTTCATGGCATTCCGAGCAGAAGCGCAGAGTCAGCAGCCTGCGAGCACCACCGGCAGCCATAGCAATTGGGGGTCTGTGAAAGCTGGTCCTTCCCAGCACTGCACCTCAACGCTGCTCGCTGTCCTGAGAGACCCCAGTGCTGGTCCACTATGGCACCACTGTGGCACCACTAGCAGGGATGGAAAGATAAGTTTTTGGACCATAGTGACAGCCAGCCATCTCTACACTGTTCTATAAACCAAGGGCTTCCGGTCTTGTCTTCCTTTCCCATAGCAAATTGTTTCTACTTTGTTTCTAATATCATCTCTAATTACGCCCAAACCATCCACTTAATGAACCAGACCTGACTCTTAGTAATCTTCATCTTTCAAGTAATTATATTTTTTTTCCATTTCATTTTGTTAATTTGCTGGTTCTAGCTAGGTCTGAATCCACTGAACTCTGAGGAAAGTATTGGCAATTTTGACTTTTTTTCCATGGGAAGAGACTAGAAAGCAACACTTCTCTCCATCAGCTTACATACTTACCTTCGGCAATATCCAAATACATGAATAGTAAACCCAGCAGCCAACCCCACAGAGGGTGGGCCCTCTGTCACCAGGGAACTCTCATGTTCTTATCAGCACATCTTAGTGGCCCATTTTCTGCTTTCTGAAGAAGTGCTAAACATATTTTTGTTCTCCTTCCCAGTTTATATTCCCGTGTGCTGTCCAGGCTTCCAGAAAGGCAGGACAGAATGGCAGCTCGTAGGCAGAGGGCAGGCTCAAGAGCTGAGACTCCAGACCCATCAGAAGGCTTTCGTGTGTGTCACCTCTCCTAGCTTACTAGTACAAAGCCATCAGCCTCCTGGTGGATCAGCTTTCTCCAGTTTGTTTTTTTTGTTTTTTTTTTTTTTTTTTTTTTTTTTTTTGGTTTTTTGGAGACAGAGTCTCACTATGTAGTTGAGGCTGACCTGGAACTCACTATATAGCCCAGGCTGGTCTCAAACTCATAGTGATCCTCCTGCCTCAGCCTCCTGAGTGCTAGGATTACAGGCATGCACCACCACGCCCAGCTCTCCAGTATTTCTTTAAACAATGTCACGGGTATGTTTCTTCTCTATCCAAGTGGACGTCTCTCCTCAAGTGAAAAGAGGAACAGGTAAGGTATTTTTCTGAGAGACAGACATTTAAGAATTTCCCATCTTTTTTTTTTTGGTACTGGGGATCGAACTTGGGTCCTTGTGAGAGGTGGCAGAACCACTGAGCTGATTCCCTGGCCCAAGAATTTTCCATCTTTGGGCAGGGAATTTAGCTCAGCAGCACCACGTCTACCTCACAAGCGCCAAGTCCTGAGTGAGTTTGATTTCTGGTACCAGAAAAAAAAATTTCCATCTTTAATTCTGCATCTTTTAGGATGTAGTTATGGGCACTGAACAAAGATACTTCCCATTTCTACCTAGAGTTTAAGAAACTATCATCAGCTATTTCCTTCATTAATTGTAATTCTTTTCTGGCTTAAACACTAAACATGATTATATTAATATTTCCTGCAACTTTAACTTAATTTTAAATAATAATTAAATTTACAGCTCAACTGTTCATAAATATTTTGTTATGTCAGGATGTGCCGGTCACATGGTGATCCAGCATTACATTTTTTACATAATTTTCTTTTAAATAGAAAACATTCTCTTAAAAAGTTCTACATTTGGGGCCAGGGATTTAGCTCAGTGGCGCCATGCCTGCCTTGCAAATGTAAAGTCCTGAGTTTGATCTCCAGTACCACAAAAAAAAAAAAAAAATTCTACATTTGTAGTTACTAACTTTAGACAGAAAATATGGATAAAATTGCATCTGGCTAATAAAATATGACAATTTTTTTTTTTTTTGTACCAGGGATCGAACACAGGACCTTGTGCTTGCAAGGCAGGCGGTAGCACCATTGAGCTAAATCCCCAGCCCTGACAATTTTCTTGTGCCTCAGCCTCCCAAGTGCTGGGCTTACAGAGGTGTGCCACCATGCCCAGTGACAAATCTAGTTTTTGAATTGCATGTATTTGGGCAACGTTTTCTTATGATTTGTAGATGACTGTTGATCACCTGTATTGATTCTGACTCTGACATCCACTCTCGGGCCAGTTTTCTGCTGTAATATCAAGGGGGTCTTTTGTTTTCTGAATTTCACTCACTCTGTGCCCGCCCCACGTAAGTCTCTCCAGGATTCCAAGTATTATACGTTGCTCCCTCTGGACTGAGAACGGTGACTGAGGTGGCAGCTTTGTGGCCGAACTACATGTTAGAACAGTGTTGATGTAAATGACGGAAAGGGAGGACTCGCTGTATTCCATCTCGATGTGAGGGAGAGAAGCGGAGGTGGACAGGAAGTCTTCTCAAGGCTGAACGCACTAAGAGAAGTAGAGGGAAAAGGTAAGCCGGGTCTGGTTGCAAGGGCAGCCAGCTCAGCAGCTTCCCAGTCTGTGCTCAGACACCGTCCCTGCTGCTGTGTCTCGTGCTGCCTGAAGACACGTGGGCACCTCATCCCGGGCTGCCTGAGCTGATGCCGGAAAGAGAAGTAAAAAGGGAAACATAAACCGGGGTGGTTTTCTCTCAGCTCATTATCACCAGCTACTAAATTTCAAGGAATTATTTTGGTGTTTATTCAAAAATACCACTGTACTTAGGGAAAGGAAGTGACAGAGGGTTTTGATCTGTACCGCTGACCAAGGACTATATAAATTAATGTTTTAAGCTGGGTGTGGTGGTGCACGCCTGTAATCCCAGCACTCGGGAGGCTGAGGCAGGAGGATCGCTGTGAGTTTGAGACCAGCCTGAGCTACATAGTGAGTTCCAGGTCAGTCTCAACTACATAGTGAGACCCTGTCTCAAAAAAAAAAAAAAAAAAAAAAAAACCCACATAAATTAATGTTTTTAAAATGTGGTAGTCTTTTCCTGAGCACTAGAGACAAAGTGAAATGACCATATTTTTCTTCCTTTATCCCTCTAATATTGTAAAAACTGTTGGTTAGAGACAAACTTTAATCTTTTATATTCTGGAGATATTATTATATCATAAATTATGTACCAATTTGTATTGAAACAATTCATTAGTTTTTTGTTTATTTCCTTTTCCTTTTATATATTGGGCCCAATATATAACCCAGGGCCTTCCAACTGAGCTATATTCCGCAGCTCTTTTTTAAATTTTTTATTTTTGAGACAGAGTCTTGCTGTAAGTCACTAAATTGTCAGGGCTGGTCTTGAGCTTGAGATCCTCCTGCCTCAGCCTCCCACAGTCCTGGGATTACAGGTTTGTACCAGCATACCTGGCTGAAATAGTTGTATGTGAGCAGCTTCTTTCACATCAGTCCCCAAAGACTTGACATACTAAATTGTGTCTATGGACGTTTATTGGATATTTTTGATGACACTGAAACAAAACGATAAGCATGAATTAACCAGCTGGAAGCCCAGACTTTTTGTGTAGAAGCTGTTTATCTGTCGAGCCTCTCTGTAGTATGTCCCTTTGATTCATTGCTAGGCGATAAAATATGAATGTAGTAACTGAAAGCTTTGCTTGTGAGAAGGCAGAGGCATCAGTAAACATGTTTTCAAAATACGAACATGAGTAGTTTGGATGTGTGACCAGTGTTTTCCCACAGTCGGTGCCCTCTTCCAGAGCCACGGCACAGGGGCTTTTTCTTAATTGCAGAGAAGGTGGATCTTACAGGTAAAACCATGTTCGAGGAAAAATACACAATGTTTTTTTTGAGACAGTGTTCCTATGTAGTCCACTATTGTATCCTCTGCCTTGGCTTTCCAGCATGCTGGGATTACAGGCATGTGCCACAGGCAGAAATAACTTTAAAAGTTGAAAAGAAGCAAGGTGCAGAGGCACATGTCTATAATCTCAGCACTTTGGGAGGCTGAGGCGGCGAGGATCACAAGTTCAAACCCAGCCTGGGTAACTCAGTGACTTAGCCAGACCTTGTCTGAAAATTAAAAATAAAAAAAGGGGGGTGGTGCTGGAAATGTAGCTCACTGCGAAGGCACTAGTTCAGTCTCTACTACTGTGGGGTGGGATGAGACCAAACAAAATTTAAAAGACTCGATCCTTAGTTTCCGCCTATGGGTCTTTTAGGTCACTGGCTTTCACTTCATCCACAAGAAATTCTTGTAAGCTTTGCTTTCTCATCAGCAGCATGGCCCTGAGTGCTGGCCTCCTTCTTACACAGACCAGCAGCCCTCCAGCAAAGCTACCATCACCATTTCCTCTCCCACAAAACATAACTTGCCTTTCATACCCTTTTAGTTGACTGAGTGGGAATGACTCAGACTACTACTTATTCATCAGTCCATGTGTATTGAGCAACCACTGTTCACTAGACTGGGTTGGAGGCAGCAAGCGTAACACAGTGCACCATTCCAAGTGCTCGTCCTGGGCCAGGGATTTAGCTCAGTGGTTCCACCGCCTGCAGGGACCCGAGTTTGATCCCCGTACCAAAAAAAAAAAAAAAAAAAAAAAAAAGTGCTTGTCCTGTGGATAGCACATTAGCTGTGGAGAGACAGACACACACAAATAAGTTAAGATTACTGTGTTTGAGGTAAATAGACATGAAAAATTCCTCTTCTATTACCTCTTTTCTGGTATATGTGCTGCTGAATCAAGCGTGCTACCTCTTTTCTTGATACCTCAGAAACTTAATGTACTTAACCAGCTGTCCTTGGAGAGTATACTTCTCGTCAGGGTGTGAAGATCTATCATTTGCCTCCCATGGAAGCTTTAATAACTAGACAACAAGCAATTTCTACCCAAATATGCCTGTCTTCAACTTTTTTTTTTTTTTTTGGTGCCTCAGATTCCCAAAATGTTAATTTCCCAGTAAAATGGTATAAGTTAAAGTCAGTGTTCACTGAGTTGCATTCATGCCTGATGAAATGCCTCAAAGTATACTTTATAGGTGTCGGGAAACTTAACTGTCCTTACCCTCCTCAGCCTCTTGGTTTTTTTAATGACGTCTTTTGAGTTGAATGCTGTAACAGTGTTCTACATTCTGATTTACACCAGGATCCTTGGTGATTGTAAAATATCCTTTCAAAGGAGTTAAAAGTGATAATAGTTTATAGTGACTTTGCAGAGATTATTCTCATGAAGATAAAAAGCTCATCAGAGACAGGGTATAATGATGTCTCAAGCATAGATTAAAGGTTTGTGTTTACGTTCTTTATCAGAGCATTCAACACCTAACTGCCTCACCAACAAGAGAAAAAATTATTATTATCAGGACAGAAATCATTTGTCCACTTACAACTACCACTATTCTTTCTAATTTGAGAATGTTCCCTTCTGTTTTCTCCTTTGGATCTTTAGGAAACGTGCTAAACCCATAATAACATGCTTTTGCTTTTACTAGGCCTTTTGAATGGGATCGCTGTTGTTGCTATCTAGTGGTTATGTCGCAAAACCCTGATTTTGATGCATACAGATATCCTGAATTTTGTCCATCATACTTACACAGCTATGTGGCCAAACAAGAGGCATTTTCTAAGGATTCTTAAAACCATTGACAAGAGTTTTCTTCTGTTCATTTTCATGTTACAACCTAAGTGTAAAATTTTGAAAGCTCTGAATAAAGCATTCATCCATGCACGTGTCTGAATTCTCTTTCTCCTTTTAGGAAGCAACATTCAGCATAAGAAGGAGTGTGTTCAAGAAGTGGGATTAAGTTACCTTTCTCCCAAAGAGCTTTCTTCCTGTCAGACCTGGAAACAAGGTGCTGTCCAGTTAGCCAGGTGTCAAGATTCTATGAAAAACTTTCAGGGAAAGAATTTTCAGTGGCAGAAACAAAGTGATTCTCCCTACCAGATCGGGGCAGGAATGCCAATCCAGATTTCTGAAGATGGCAACTACATAGTGACTCATGTAGTGGATGATTCCAGTTACGTAAAAAATCCGGAATTTCCATGCTTGAGAGCCCAGCACTCTTGGAGAAAAGTGTATCTGGGTGAGGCCCACAATCCTCGGTGTAAATGTCAACAGATTTCCATGAAAAATAATTTCTGTAAGTGTGAGAGTGTCGGTTGGATCTCGTATCACAATGGTAACCTGGGAGTACACAGAATGGAAAACAGCTACAGTTGCAGTGACTGTGGAGATCTTGTGGACGTATCATTTCTTAATGAGAACTCAACTGAGGCAGAGCAGAAACCCTCCCCACGTACTGAGTATAGAGAAGACTTCAGTGATGACTACAGCACCGCCGTTCATCGGCAGCTGCACCTAGAAGGGAAACCCTGGATATATGGTCCATGTGGAAGGGGCGGTAGTTGTAGGTCAGTTCTTGACAGTCATCAGAGTGTTCAGAGAGATGAAGACGACGTTGAAAGTTTACGTCTGCAATCCCATCAGCGAGCGTGTACAGAGGAATTGCGTACACATGGTGAATGTGGCAAGATCGTCAACCATCACTCCTCTCCGAGCTCTTATAAAGTCGCCCACACAGGAGAAATATCCCAGAAGTGTAGAGTTTTTGAGAAAGCCTTCAGTTGCAGCTTAAACCTTAATATTTTTAAGGTCCATACTAGGGAAGACTCCTGTGGCTATGAGGAGAGTGGAAACGTTTTTAATCGGAATGCATGTCTTCAGGTTCATCAGAATTTCCATGCTGAAGAAAACCTGTACACAAATGTGGAGTATGGAAAGGGTTTACTTTGTAGTTCAAATCTTAACGGTCCACATAGAGTTCACATGGCAGCGAATCCCTACAATTCTGAGGAGTGTGGTAATGACTTCAGCCTGGCCCCACACTTCCAGGACTGGCAGATAGCTCACCCCAGGGAACAACCATGTAAGCATTATGTGTACAGGAGTAACTGTAGTCAAAGTTCATATATTCAAGGCCATCAGAAGATTCACATTAGAGAAAAACCTCATAAGGAGTGTAGAAATGGCTTCGACTGGAATTCAAAACTTAAAAGTCATCAGAAAGCCAGTGCTGGACAGAAGCCATACGTGTGCAGTGTGTGTGGCAAAGGCTTCAGTCACAGATCAGTTCTTAATGTTCATCAGAGAGTCCACACGGGAGAAAAACCTTACAAATGTGAGGAGTGTGATAAGGGATTCAGTCGGAGCTCATACCTTCAAGCGCATCAGAGAGTCCACTCTGGGGAAAAACCCTACAAATGTGAGGAGTGTGGGAAGGGCTTCAGTAGGAACTCCTACCTTCAGGGCCATCAGCGAGTGCACACTGGAGAGAAACCATATAAGTGTGAAGAGTGCGGTAAAAGTTTCAGTCGCAGTTCACACCTCCAAGGCCACCAGAGAGTCCACACTGGAGAAAAACCATTCAGATGCGAGGAATGTGGGAAGGGCTTCAGTTGGAGCTTTAATCTTCAAATTCACCAGCGGGTCCACACAGGAGAGAAACCTTACAAATGTGGAGAATGTGGTAAAGGCTTCAGTAAAGCCTCGACTCTTCTGGCCCATCAGAGAGTCCACACAGGCGAGAAGCCGTACCAGTGTAACGAGTGCGGTAAGCGCTTCAGTCAGAGGCCGTACCTTCAGAGCCATCGGAGCGTCCACTCTGGAGAGAGACCATATGTATGTGAGGTGTGTGGCAAGGGCTTCAGTCAGAGAGCGTATCTGCAAGGTCATCAGAGAGTCCACACGAGAGTGAAGCCCTATAAATGTGAAGTGTGCGGGAAGGGCTTTAGTCAGAGCTCACGCCTTGAAGCCCATCAGAGGGTCCACACAGGAGGGAAACCATACAAATGTGAGATGTGTACAAAGGGCTTCAGTGAGAGTTCACGGCTTCAAGCACATCAGAGGATCCATGCAGAAGGGAGACCCTATAAATGTGAACAGTGTGGTAAGGGTTTCAGTGGGTACTCGAGTCTGCAGGCCCATCACAGAGTCCACACCGGGGAGAAACCTTACAAATGTGAGGTGTGCGAGAAGGGCTTCAGTCAGAGATCAAACCTTCAAGCTCACCAGAGAGTCCACACGGGGGAGAAGCCGTATAAGTGCGATGCCTGTGGGAAAGGCTTCCGTTGGAGCTCGGGTCTTCTAATTCACCAAAGAGTCCATAGTGGTGACAAACTCTATAAAGGTGAAGGATATAGTAAGGTTTACTCTTCCCCAGAGAGTCTACACAGAAATGAAGTTTTGTAAAATGATGACCTGTTTGTTTTGAAGTCCTCAAGTGGGAGCTGAAATTTTCCAGTCACGAGTTCTTTTAGTAGAAAATATTTTTTTAACATGAAAATGTAATTTCCAACTTCAACATCTGTGATGCTTAGGAGGCCACACAACAGAGACCTTTATTAAGAGGGGTTCTATAACAGATTTGCCAAAACTTTAATAAGTTACTGCACAGGAACTGGGGCTTATTAATATGAGTGTGGTCAGGAATTTAGCAAAGCCACAGTGATGAATATGCCTAACCCCACGGCCAGTGAGACATGAGCTTGATGAAAAACAGGACTTACCGCTAAGTCTACAGACCCGTGATGTTTTGTAACTCAATACTTTTTCCTAAATGACTAAATTATGTAAAGGTATAATATTTGAAAATTTTATTCAGCTAATTTCAGAACATTTCAGAGTGGATTTGGAGGAGGAATTATGCAAATACTGACAATATTACTTCAGTAAATATTATTTGAATGTTGAGCATCAAGCAGTATTGCTATCTGAAGTACATGAATTTGGTTGTGACCCTGTTGGAATCGGTTCCCATCATTTGTCCGGTCTTAAGGATGAGCTGAATTTCTTAATATTCAGTCTCTTTTTACACAGTTCACAGTCAGTGTGTGTGTGTTGTGTGTACGTATATGCACTTTAAATGACAGTACAAACTGATTAACAGTGTTTCTGGACGACTACAAAAAATGGAATGCTGCATTTCACATAATTACATTTTCTGCCCTCTGTATCAAGGCAGAATTTTATTGTAACATTTGGAAAGTGTCAGAAGTGGTTACTAATGACCAATAGTTTTAAATAAATGTCAGAGTTATAATGCTTGGTGTTTTACTCTCTGTATTTCCTTTAAACTTCATTTATCTGACTGATTTCTAAAGGCAGGCTTTGCCCAATCCAAACCTTCTTAGGCAGGGTTTATGACAAAATTGAAAGGCTGTTTTCCTACCCCCACACTTTTCTCATTCACATAAAGGGAAAATTCTTGAATTAAAAATTTTTTGTACATGTTAGGATAGTGTAGCCATTTACCCACTGGTCTCTGTCTTTGAGAACATGTATTTGGTTGGTGGGAGTAAAGAAATATGAAAATATGTGGAGAAAGCTTAGCAGTGGGCCAAGACAAGGAATAAAGAAAGACAGACACAAATTTCAAAGCTTAAGGGGACTTGGAGGAGATATACCTCTAGTGGACAATCTCAACAATCTCCAAGGTTGAACCACTTTTATTAGCAACTGAAAGGCGCAAGGGGGAAGGAGTTGTACATCATTTGGAGGAGCATAATGGTTGAAAAGGTATTTTGAAAGACAGAACTGGTTAAACTTATAAGGGGAGTATGTGAGAAATGTTAAACTTCACAATAGGAGACCAAGTTAATGAGAAACTAGTTCTTTCTGTTTTCCTGCAGTTTTACAAGATCCTCAGTAGATGCTATCTTGCCTCAAGAATGCCACAGTCACTGGTTTTGCAGCCAAGAGACACACCATTTTTAGTGTGCCCCAGCTGTTGAGACAAGGTGCATCAATCCTAGGTCATTGGGCCTGGATCATGCAGCCCCAGTCACAAACAGCCATTTCTAGTAACCATGTGGCCTAGTCTCCAACAATCTGCCTCTGGATAGTCTTTTTTTAATAGGTCAACCAATCACACAAAGGGCTTCTGTGTGCCCTGCTTGATCTCCACAAATGACCGGGAGGGCTGGCCAGAGACAGGAATGCGATCCGGCGCCCACGCAGAAGTAAGTGCATTGATCAAGAGCTAGCCTTGAACCACAGTGTACAGCCAGCCCTCTCCCCTGTCACATCTAAGAAATGATTTGTCCTCCCTCCTGTTCTTCACAAAGATCCTCAAATTGAGTTCTTCACTGAAAATAATGAGGGGCTTCCAAGCAGGCACTGCTAATGAAATGGCACTCGGAGGGCGGGCGGACCAAGGAAGAGAGCAGCGCTCAGAGAACTGAAGGGAAAGGCAGGTTTGTTTGCTAGCTAGCAGTCCCAGTGGAAGTCACCTTCCAGAGTCTGAGCCCCGTTTCCCCGTTTGTTCCAAGCAAGCAGAATTTTACAGAAGAACTTGGCAAAGGGTATGGAGACGGAGGTGTTGTTGCTTCTTTTACTTTTGTTACAGTTTATCTTTAAGACATAGGGAGGCAGGGCTGGGGATTTAGCTCAGCGGTTCCGCCACCTGCCTTGCAAGTGCAAGGACCCGAGTTCTATCGCTGGTACCACAGACATAGGGAGGGAGGCAGCTGTGTTTCAGCGGTTCATCTTCCAGGCAGAGCAACCTTCGTGAGTTTAGTAGGAGGGGCAAGCCTTAGACTGTCAGCCTTGAGACCAGCAGTCTCTGCTCTTTTTTTTTTTTTTTTTTTTTTTTTTTTTCCCATTTCACTAAGACCTAATCCCAGGGGTCATGTGATAATGACTCCCCTAAACAGTCATCAGCCTTTTAGTAAAGGGGCTACTTGGCCCATTTTCTCTGATACTCTTTCTGATCTCTTTATAAACTTCAAACTGTAGGGGGTTATGTAACCCGTTCCCATTTTGTACTTGCACTGGGAAAACTGTAGTCTCCCCTGAGAGAGCCGCCTCCCTCAGGCTGTCTGAAAGTGCAGATTGGACCATAGGTGCAGTCGTGGTGAAGGAAGAGGAGTTGGCCATATCTCAAGATCTTTTAAACTAGCAGGGGGGGGGGACAGGGGGCTTGGTAGCTGACTGATTAACCTCCTTAGTTTCATTCTCCTGATTAACTGAGACCAGGGCGGTAAGGACAAGGCCCCATGTGGTCAGGCCGTCCTGAGCCCTCCTCAGATTTCCCCCCACTCTATCCCATGTTTCTAAGTCTAAAGGAAACCATGGATTATGTTCAAGCACAAGCTCTAAAAGCTTAACAGTCTGTTCTTAAGTGATCGAAACATCGGCTACCTTCAACCCCTGGCACAAAACCTTGATGTAATACTTTTGCTCTGTTGCTAATGACCACCACATTGTTACCCTGACTGAAAAATCGTCTCAAAGGCTCAGAAAGTCCCTAACTGAAGATCCACTTACCGAGCTTGTCTTCCAGGACAATTTGCCTTTGGCTTCCTCACTCGCTGGCAGCTTCAGGTCCCTGTTCAGACACCACTCGCTGGGTTTGGGCCAGCAAACCCTGATGGAGAGATGAATGACTACTTGAGAGACAGAATTTCTTTGAGGAGGGTCAAGGGACTTTACCAAAATGGAGCCCTGAACTGACTCAAACTCCCTGACTTATTGAGGATCTACAAAGGCAAAGAGTCTGCTGAGCACAGATGTTTGTTTCGGGTAAGCAAGGCAGGTGATAGTTTGGCTGAATAACTTTTATCTGATTGTCTTAGGAGGCTTCCAGGTTTTCCCCATGAAGCCCATCTCTGCTCAAGTTGGCAAAGCATCCCATTCTCACCCTGGAGAAGGGTCAGGAATTTAGCTCCGTGGTGCTGCCGCCTCCTTCACAAGCGCGAGGTCCTGAGTTTGATCCCCAGTGCCACCCCCCAAAAAAAGAAGAAAGGAGAAGCTATAGATTACTAGTGTCAAAAATGAATAAATTACTACGGATCCTCTCTCTCTCTTTTTTTTAATGGATCCTCTTAATACCCAGAAATACTAGGAATACCTTTATGGGAACTAATGAGGATGACACTTTGACACTATGAGTTAGGCAAAGGGTGCTTAATGTGATCAATGTAAGAAATTTGATAGATTTGTCTTGATTAAAATAAAACTTGAGGGACTGGGGATTTAGCTCAGCAGTTCAGTGGCCTGCCTTGCAAGCGCAAGGACCTGAGTTCAATCCCTGGTACCAAAAAAATAAATAAATAAATAAATAAAACAAAACTTGAAAAAACATATATGAAAGCAAAGCATTTAGGAAGATAGGGAGAAAATACACTATGAGACCTGTAATCAAAGTAATGTAAAAAAAACTCTCAAAACTCAAGAAATCACAACATTAAAAAACACTTAAAAGTACATTTTAAATGGGAGAAATAGGCAATCTGTGGGGAGGCAGCACTGATTGAACCCAAGGCCTTCACACTGAGCTATGTCTTCAGTCCTTTTTATTTTCAAACGGCATCTTGCCAAGTTGCTCATTTTTCCCAGGCTGAGCTTGAACTTGAGATCATTCTGCCTTAGCCTCCCAGAGTGCTGGGATTACAGCCATGTGCCACTAGGCCCAGTTTAAGCAAAAATTTTAAATCAGCACCTCACCACAGAACATGCATGTATGGCAAACACATGGTATGATCAGTGTCACGGATGACTAGGGAAATGCAAGTTAAAACTGCAACAAGGTAGAACTACACACCCATTAGTTTTATTTTGTTTTGTTGACACGGTCTCACTATGTAGTTGAGACTGACCTGGAACTCACTATGTAGCCCAGGCTGGTCTCGAACTCACAGTGATTCTCCTGTCTCAGACTCCCCAGTGCTGGGATTACAGGCGTGCGCCACCACGCCTGGCTCTACATACCCATTAGAATGGCTCAACTGAGAAGCAGGGTGATATCAAGTATGGAAAAGGTTGCAGAACAAATATTGCTCTCATCCAATGCTGCAGTAATGCAAAGTATTACAGCCACTTTGAAACCATACAACAATATTTTAAACAAAGTGCATACACGTAATACACCTTGCAGAATGTCGGGAAAATATGTTATGAAAAGCCTTTAACTGCAAAGTAGAAAAACAAGCCTTAATATCCAAAAAGTGGAATATTACTGATGGAAGAGCAAGCGTGGATCTCAGAGGTACTATTCTGATTGAAAGAAGCCAGACTCAACAGGTTACATTCTGAAAAAGGCAAAATTACGACAAGTAACAGATCAGTTTACCTAGGGAGAGGGAAAGGTGATCACAAAGGCGCGTGAGAGAACTTTTGGGGGTGATGGACACATTTAATCCATTGGTTTTGGTGGTGCATATATCAAAACTCATAGACCTGTACACTATAAAGAGTAGATATTATCATATGTATACTACACCGCAATAAAACTGATTTGTGAAATTAATGCCTGAACACTGCAAACAGAACTGTATAGGTAAAACTCAACATGTTAGGGAAAACTTTGAAAATTCAAAATCACCACTCAGATACATAAACATCTTGCTCTGCTATATCTCATATTATGTACACAAATATCTGTGTATAATAGTTTTCAAAACTGGGATTATGTCATGCTATTTTCTAACTTGATTTTTAACTTATCATTATATGAAAATGTTTACTGTCACCAGGTTTATCTTCTACCTCCTTTTAATGCTGCACAGTATACTGTTTAGGTATTAATTTGCAGATAAGTGATTTACATTCTCTTAAAAAGCAGCGTAATGAAAAATTTAACACAAATTTTTTCCATTTTTCTCCTAACTCCTGTGCACAAAGTAGCCTATTGTCCTAGCAGATTCACATGATTCATAGTTCTTACATAACAGGTACTATTCATAATTTAAAGGATATAAGTAAAACTTATACATAGATGTGAAGTTTTCCTCCCAGGAGAACCATTTAAAAAAACCACTGCTTAATGGGAAGAAAGGAGCTAAAGGTGTAGGGAAGGTGGGATGGGTAGGGGAAGGGTAATAAGGGAAAAGAAAAAAATGTGTGATAATGAAAAGATGAAAATAAAGTGTTTGTAGATGGGGAGGGGAGGAGGGGGTGAAGGGAGGGCACGGGTAAGGGGAAAAAATGAGAATCAAGACTTGTCATGTAGAGGTATAATGTCGCGAGCCGCGACGTCAGGATCCTGCCAGCAGGTCCTAAACCTGAAAGGATGAGGACAGAGA